ACACATATATACACACATATATACACACATATATACACACATATACATATATATACACACATACATACACACACATCGATATTTGGGAAATAGATTTTTCAGTCTGAACATCAATGTAATAACTTTGGATCTCCTTTGTTTAAGTTCAGACACAATTTTGCACCTTTTTTTTTTTTTTTTTTTAAATCCCTTTCATTATATTAGGTTTATTTGAAGTAAAAGTAAAGTGCAGGACTGCATCTTCTACTCCAAAACTCGTACCTTAAACAGACGAGGGAAGACATCTGTAGGCTGGCCTCTAATGACAAACAAGCGGGAGTTGAGTTTGCGCAGGCTGGCATCCAAGTCTTCTAAACAATGCAGCAAAAACCTATTTATTAAAAAAAGCAAACAAAAAAATTAAAAGAAAAACCCCAGAAGGATCAAATAATTGGCTACAATTGATTGATTAAGTAAAACCGTATCAGTCTCATATGACCAATGATAACAGGCACAAGGAATGGAAAAGTTGTAATAGACTACAATTAATAAATTCAGTATAGAAATAGTTTTTAGTAGATTAACCATTTCTCCCATAAAACAACATGCAACAAGCTCTCCGGTACCCTCACTCATGACTTTTGATACCTGAATATAGATGTTTTCTGATGACTATGAGAGTTTCCATTTTTTCAAGGGCAGAGATCACCTAATTTCTGCTATCATTTTGGGTTATCTTAGCAGGTTCTAAGGTCTAAAGAGCTAAATATTTGACAATATGGTGCCAGACGTTTTTAAAAGTGGAAAGGTTCAAATGCACCATGTTGCACTGTTGCATGTCCAAAAATGCATTATGTTGGATTGCCAAAACTTGATTATTTTGCATTTGTGGACAGAAAACACACAAAAAAAACTAACATATTTCCATTTCATTACCACCATCCTCATAAAAAAATATATAATTTTAGAACATCACTGATGACATCATGAGATATGGACAAAACAATAAATAAACAGCAGACAGTTTCTTTCAGCAACATAGATACTGCAGTGTATTCATGTGAACATGCAGCCCTCTTCTGGTGAAACTGCTGTAAATATTACTGGCAAAAAAGCAGAGCATGTATACTGTAGGAGCACTCATGACTTATGCCTTTAAACAAACATTTTCTCAACAATTTATCTACAAACCCAGCAGCAAAACTAAAAAACAAACAAACAAAAAACAACAACATCTAACATAATTTAAAAAAAAAAGAAAAAAAAAAAAGAAAATCCTTAAGTCACGTCCATTGTCTTCTATTAACATCCGAGTGGCATTTATATAGTAACTGACACCTAAACCACAACCTAAAAATAATAATTGCTTTATTACTAGGATTTCATAATATGATTCAAGATCTAACAAAGAGTTTGGCTTTGGCAAGCAGATATGGAGTAAATTTTAAAAATCAGTTATCAGCACACTACCTGTATCTTCTGACAAATACTCTCATGCCATCATATCCTCATTTAATACACTCGAGTTATTATCCACAAGAGTTTTAATAACGGCTCTCTTATCTTCTAATTCTACAAATTAAAAACCCTTTAACTGTATGGAAGTAATGAAGTAATGATACATTATGGAAGTAATGTATCATAATATTCCCACAGATTACAGTATTTCTTAATTTCCCATTGTTACACTGGTCTTCCCTTCTGACACTCCTTCGATATTCCTTTCTGGGTCACACTGACCTATAATCACTTCTGGAGTGGCTTCCCCTCCTCTCTCTGTGCTGCAGTGTGCGTCTGCTGTATTGTGGCAGTGGAAATGGGTGTGTTTGATGGTTAGTGGAGTCAACGATGTGTCAGAGCTGAGCTTGAAGAGACTTGAAAACTGACTAATGTGCAGCTGGTGAAGTTCTGCTCCAGTTTAGTGTCTCTATACGCATGTGTGCAGTATTAGAAATTGTGCCGTCTTCCATTTACCTTGCAAATCTTCCTGCTCACTGCAGTTTTCTGCTACTAGATTTAGCTTAACACTCTAGCACTGCTTGCCCAGATCAGCTTAACTCCCTACTTTCTGAATTCTGTTCTGTCTGGTCAGCTTCCCTCAGTAAACCTCTGCTCCACTAACCCCAGTATGCTTCTCTGTCTCACCACTCCAGCTCCCATTCTGAGCCATTCAGACCAATCTGAGGTCACAATAATCACCTTTTATTTACAGCCAGCTTTTTCTCTGTGCCTAATTTTCCCTTTCAGTTTAGTGCTTTGTGTAACAGAGTGTATCCAAGGTTAAAACATGGGTTTTCTTCAGCATTTATTGAAAATAAATAATCCATAATTTTTTCCCATTAAGGTTCACAAGCTACAAAGCACAAATTACTGACCAGTTTGTATTATTTCAGCATGAAAATGGAGACAAGAGAAGGAGAGCACTTCCATAAGAACTCAAACATATTCCATTCAATCTAAATCAGTGTACCAGTGTGTAGTAAATCTAAGCAATTATAGTTGCTTGCAACATTGTGAACAAATGCGGCTGTATGGATGTATGGGATAAGCTAAAAATAGTGTGCATGTAATAACACAAATGACATGGTGTAGCTAACTAAAGGGGTGTGTGTGTTTAATATAGGTCAAAGCAGTGAGGATGGATGATGTAATGACCATAACAACATACTGACCCAGATTTGCAGCCCCTAATTTGCAGCCCCTGATTCAGAGTTGAACAGCAGAGTCAGTAAGCAGGAAAAAAATAGCTTGTCAGAGTAGCTGGGCAGCAAGCTTACTGCCTGCAACCTTTATATGTCCTTCTTTGGATTCAAATGGTGAAAGCCCTCTCTTTCACACAGACTCAGCAATAAATAAATAAGTAATAAATATTTTTTTTAACCACAGTGAACTGATTTTAAAGACAAAAAGAGCTGGACACTGGTGCAACATGTGACTAGTAATGTAATGTAACATATGAACATCTGCAATAAATAAATATAGCAAAAATAATTCACTCACTGCTTTCTTGTAACATATGCACTGTGTGCAGCTTCCCCCAAGATCCACTATCAAACTGAAACTAATGTCAAAGGGTGGGTTTAAAGAGAATGAATAAAGTTTTGGAGATTTTTACAATTAACCATCAACAATATCATCATTTATTTTTAAATTACTAAATCTGATGAAAATTATTTGAGGATTCTGGGAAGAAGAAAAATACTATAAAAACAAGAAAAAAATATTACCAACTAGTTGGAATTGGTCAAGATCTTGGTCACTAAAGCAGCTCAAGGTGAAAACAGTTGTTGTTTCAAGACAAACTGCCACACCTGACATATCCTCTACAAAATGCCCTGTGTAGATGAGTTAGTGAAACAGACTGATCAGCCATCTTATCGCGTCTTGTCGTGCAACATACATCCTCTTTATTGTGGGTGTGAGGGTGTAGCCGTTGGTACCCATGCATCTGCTTATTGCCAGTGTGAATTTTCTACAAATCTTGCCAACTCTTCCAGGTTTGTGCGTTTTTCCTTCTGGCCAGATGCAGCTTTCTGCACCATCTTTTCCAACTCGTCTACAAAAGGCATTTTGTAGAGAAAATGTCAGCCTTGGCAGTTTGTCTTGAAACAGTAATGTCCACACTTTGAAATTTTACTCAAAATAGTATGTAGTAATAGCAGCAGGCTTAAAAAAAAACAACAACATTAATCATAATGTTAAAGTTCATTCATACGTCTGTCTTAATGCAGTGTTACTCATCCACAAAACACCCAGGAAACTTCAAGCTGCATGGTGCAGAAAACAGGTGTGACTGGCACATGCAGGTGCTGATTCTGCAGGGGATCCTTGCAGAGCCTACAACATGACCTATGTAAGTGGCTGAGGACGTTGCCGTGTGCATTATGTATTAATTGTCATATGGGCGTGTACTGGTGTTTTAGCCAGTAGAGACAGATAAAATGATGGGACTTTTCACCTCCTGGGTCCCCTACTGTTTTTCATCACATTTTTTTTAGATTCTAGATTCCCTCACATCGATTCCTACAGTTTCAGCAATTTCACTCCAGGAATTTGCTGATATGTGCCCTTATATTAAAGCTATGATTATTATCCCTTGTACTGAGATGATGATGATGATGATGGTGTGACTGTCATCCTCTCACTGAGGTTCAAAAAGTGTGGCAAAAAAAGCACCTGGAGATGCACAGCAGAAATCAACAATAAATTTCCTGCTGAAATATAAATCCCCATTAGGTAGCATTTTATTTGTTCTGAATTCTATTAACAAATTTTTAATATTGGTTGGGGCTAAAATTGTGATCAATATTAAAATTTGATTAATGTCCAGCCTTACAAGGGAAACTAGTCGGGCAGATTTATGCTTTAAGGGGACAAATTCAATATTTTGTCCATGACATGACATAGTCCTCTCTCAATGTTGTACTCATTTTCCAATTACGTGTACCTTTGCTGTTGGAAGAGGACCAAATAATAGGCATAAAATTATAATATTGCAGCAAATCAATGCTTAAAAAACAGCTGCAAAGTACCACCCCTTAAAGAATGAATGTAAATATTTTAAAACTACTATTTTAACGACTTGTCTGCCTGATCAAAATGAGCACTTTTTTGTTCAAATTCCCATCATCTATGGAAAGATGTGCAATTACATAATTCTCCATTCTGAATTAGATAAGTGCTTCAGAAAACAAACCAAACGTTTTTTAATAAAACAGTACGCTAGTTAGTTAATGTCAGAGAGCCACTTTGCCCTGCTTCTCTCCCCTAACTCTTCTACAAAACGTGCTGGAGTAACACCTTGCTAGTACTGTGTTGGCCCCCCCTTTGCCTTCAGAACTTTCTTAATTTTGTGCCAGTTTAAACAAGGTGCTAGAAACATTCCCGAGGGATTTCCATATTAACATGACAGCGTCGCACAACTGTTGCAGACTGGGCAACTCCAGATCCATCATGCAAATCTCCCATTCCACCACATCCCCAAGGTGCTCTACTGGATAGAGATCTAGTACATGTGGATGGCAACTGAGCACTGTGAACTCATGTGATGGTCAAGAAACCAGTTTGAGATCATCTGAGCTTTCTCACTTGGTGGAAGCAGCCATCATAAGATGATCACTCTGTGGTCATAAAAGGATTGACACGGTCAGCAACAATACTGAGATAGGCTGTGGCATTTAAACAATGGTCAGGTATAAGGGATCCAAACTGTATGAAGAAAATACCCTCCAGGATAAACTCATGCTTTTATGTTGTTTACACCAATCTTTGCGTAGCTTGAGTTTCTCATTTTTAAGCTTAGGGTTGTGGCACCTGCTGAAGTCTTTTGTTGTTACAGTCCATCTGCTTCAAGGTTTGACATGTTGTGTGTTCAGAAATGCTCTTCTACATACCTTTGGTGTAATGACTGCTCATCTGACTTGTTGTTACAATACCCACAAGTGTGGTCATTCTCCGCTGATCTACGCAACTCAGCCTAACTGGGTATTTTCTCTTTTTCAAACAACTGTCTGTAACTAAGGATAGCTGTACTGGAAAATCACAGTAGATCAGCATTTTCTGAACTACTCAGACCAGCCCATTTGGTCTTGACAACCACGCCACATTAAAAGTCACTTAAATTATGTTTCTTTCTCATTCTGACGAGTCACTTAAACTTTATCAAGTCATCTTGACCCTGTCTATATGCCTAAAAGCATTAGGTTGCAGCCATGCAATTGTCTGATTAGATATTTGTGTTAAAAAGCAGCTGAACGAGTGTAAGCAACAACGTGAAGAGAGAGTGTATGCAGTTAGTGAAGATAAAGGTTACATCTAAAACAATATTAAGTTTTGATTGGGTGATTGCTAAAATACCACAGGTCTTGATACTAAGCAACTATAACCAGGGATTAAGTTTGACCTAAACACCCTTTGACAATTGAAAGCACACCATATTGTGTGGAGATGCAGTTCTCCACAGGTCTAAAGAATCTAAATAATAGGAACTTTGTGACAGGCGCTTAAGGATTAAGTGACCAATTGTTATGATTAGGTTTATAAAGTAAATGAACATGTTTGCCTCAAAGTCCATGTTATCTAGATTCAAGCTTTAAACTACGAATACCAAGAACAAACCTTTAACCCACATAACACTCCTATATACCCATACTTAAAAGCTAAAGCAGCATGTGACCCATCTTACCTCCACCTGTTGATGCCCACATTGGAGGATCCAGCGAACCAGGGGTCTAGGATATAAATACAACGAAGGGTGTCCGATCCCTGGATAGAGTCTTTCAGAGACGGGTTGTCATGCAGCCGTAGTCCCTTCCTGAACCAGTGGATGGTATTGACCACCATGTCGCCTCCCTTATTTTTTTATTTTACCACTAGTGGGGTGAAAAAGGTATTAAGGAGTTCCCACAAACAACAAACGACGCCCTCTAACGTTGTTCTGTGGCAAAAACAAAGTCACAAATACACATCCGAGGCCGAAGTAGCTTTAAAGCTGCTCTCCGTTCCTGGATGGCGATAAAGGTTTGTCGGACCTTAACCAAGCTCCATGAATTTATCCACAGCGTTGGGTCTGCTGACCAGCAATGAATGCATGTGTAGAACGGTGGAAACCGCAGCTGACGCAGAAAGGGGCTGCAACTCTTCTCTCAATTAGCAGCAACGCTGAAATTGAATAATTCAACATGATTAAGTTCGAAAAAAAGAACATTAACAGAGTCAAACGATGTTTCAAATGTATTGTTTTGATGAGCTAACACAAGGCGCTTGCGCGAAGGCCATATAAAATATGCTAGTAGTTAGCAAAACGTACAAACGCGTACATACTTACGTTTTGTTGCCACAAACGGGGTTAGTCTGCACAAATTCAACGCTCTCTCGACCTTACTAACATATTAAACACTGTACAAAAACTACATCACCAGCCTAAGTCGGCCATGCAAGATGTCCTCGCTATCAACATCTCCACCCACAGGAATACGCAGGGCTGAAAGGAGCGACGTGATTGGCCAGGATTAAACGTTATGCAACGTGTTCCCCGTCACGTTTCCATAATGTGCTTTCTTACCTCTGCTTACGCGTTATCTGCGGTCATTTTTAAATGTTCCACCATCGATTTCGATGTTTTCTCGATACAATCTCTGACAAACTCCGTTTTTAAGCGAAAACCCCGAAAATATCGTCTAAACTGGGAGATTAAAGGCAGCTAATGGGAGACTTCGGTTTCAGTTATGTGGTATACCCACAAGTACCCGGATGATCACATGCCGCGCGGCAAGGCCAGCTTCTGAGCAGGTGTGCTCGATTCTTTCTCGTGACCGCGCCGCAACCGTGCGTTTGGTCGGACATAACTAACCCCGCCCATTGTCATCATCAGCGGTAATCTCTAACCAATGTGTACCCCGTGAGTCACGTTAAATTACATAAAAACTTAAGATGTGACATGGCATCAGCAGTTGTTAATACATAACATTTGCTGTAGAGTTAGGTACTACTATTACTATTGCACAGAGCTTCTCTAATTGGTTTGGACAGAAATTAGATCGTTTTTGTGTGACAACTTTGATTACAATAAAGAAATTGCAAGTCTTATTTGAATTTTGTCTTAATTTCATGGCAGTTGTGTCTAAAGTCTGTAAAACGACACTGGCATTACATGAAAACTGGGCAAATAAGTTGAACATACCCTTTAAATAATACTGGCAATTTACAGTCTGGCAAAAGCAATGTAGCTGTTGGTCACGTGGGTTGCTAATGCCACATTAGAGTGCACAGTGAAATTTTTTTGATATCACACATTTGACTTGACAAACTGTTCATTTCACAGTGAGCAAAACTTTGAGGTGATGACGTACGTTATCATTTTTTAATGATAAAGTACAAACTTACACAATAGTTGTGATTTAATTGAATCAAATGACACTTTTATTAAATAACCAAAACTGGACCCACATAGATCATACTCCTAGCAGGGCTCTGGTGTACATTTGTCATAACTGGGTATCCTTTGGCTCTGAGTGAGGTACAGGGTTGCTATATCAAGACTAGATTAAAATAAGGTGTTAAGAGGTATTCATTTCTAAGTTTTTGATAGTCTATCTGGTAGATTTTAAAATGTTATACGTTATGTAATTACTTTGTTTGTTTGTTTTTACTGTAACCCTGTTTGTAATTATAGGAAGAGGCAGCCTCATACATTTGTTAGAGTGTCATTAATGGTAAATTACATTTTGTTATTATCAATTGGAAAAATCAGAAGGATGATCATTTTGACCTTTGGTTTAATGATGGAATGGTTATCGAAGGATATTTCACTCAGGTTATTGAATTTTAGGTGTAAATTCAAGCAATAGAAGTTTAATTTAACTTGTTAACAGGTTTTGTTTAAAGAACAAAAATAAATCTTTTGAATAAATAATTTCTGTGGGATATATTGCATGCCACAGAAATGTCAGGGTTGGAGCAAAGATAGCACACTGTGCTCGGTAAGAAGAACATGTTGTATCACCCTGGGGCAGAATGACAAGTTATATCATTGTCGCACGACCAGATCTGTGAAGCTGTGCAACATGCCTCCTTTTTTCCCCTAAGTATCGTGCATGCATGATAAAATGCATGCATGATAAGATTAAAAGCCATGGCTTTTAAAGTACATTACACCTGAGCATTTCTGTTTCTGCTTTCTAAGGGAAAAACAGCTTGAAAAATCCTGCTCAGTGAAACAGAAAATAAAAAAGAAAGTAAAGCTTAACGTAAGGGAGCAAAGTCTGGACTTTAGCTGTTCTGTTATAGGTGTGGATATGAGAGGAATTTCTGTCACTTTCTGACCGTTTGTTTTTCTGTCTGCTTGCTTTAGAAGTCCTTGGTTGCACATCTCTGTCTTCTGGAGAAAATTACAGTATGTGCAGGAAAACCACAGGAGTGTGGTTAAGGCGTGCAATGCTTTTCACAATTATACAGTCAAAGTATTTGTTTGTGTTTTGCTTGTCTGTCTGTATTTTTTACTGAGTGCATTGAAAAGTAATTGTTTCCAATGTCTGATGGCTTTTTCCACTGTGACCTTCTGGCTTCTCAAGGATATGCATCAAACATTCCTGAAAAAAAGTTATTTTCCATCATTCATTCTCTGCTAAGATTTGAAAAATTACTGTAAAATCACAGAAGCCTAAAGATTTCTCTGGCTATAAGAAAGCTAGGTTACTCTAATAATTATGTTGAAAAGGGTGGTGGGGATGCAGTCAAAAACATCCCATTACACTTATACAAATTGCCACTAGATGGCAGAATTTACCAGAAATTGTTTTTGTAGAGGATCAAAGTGCACTTTAACGTTTTTGCCTTTGAGTCAGTTTTCACAAACTTTGAGGTTTTTCTGTCTTAATCTTCCTTTTTGTTTTATTAGAGCTATCTGAGCCTATGATAATCTATTTAACTGGACATGAAGCCGTGATGTGATTTTAAATGTTCTGAGCTTCAGTAGTTTTAATCAGTTAATCTACTTTGCTTTTAAACACAAAGGTTGAGCAATGCAGGTTTTTCCCTGTGTAGAGCAGCTATAGACCAATCATGAAGGTTATAGTGCAGACACAAATCAATCAGCCTTTTGCTCTGTTTTTCTCAGTGAACTTGGAGAAAGAGGACATATACTGCAGTAAACATTTAATATGTGTGCAGCCTTCCAAAATGTGTGACAAGATGAAGAAGAAGAAGAGCATGCATACTTGAAGGCAGATCTTAATCTACATCAGGCCACATCACAGTGGCCCAAGAGCACATGATTCCTCATTGTTACTGATACAGCCGCTTCTCATTTCGGTTACATTTAATGTGTTTCTAAATCATCTCAACCAGTTAGCTTTTCTTCTGGGCTGTTGAACATTTTTTAAAACCTCTCTATATAAGGATATTATTCTATTTACCCCATTTACATGAGGACCAGAGAGAGAGAGATCATAAGACAGCTTTAACGTGTGGTTTTGTAGAAATATGACTTTGTTTGCTCACATCCCATAATCACAGAATACAGGATTATGCTTTTCAGAAATATCTACATCATATGCTTGTATATACTGTATTTACCTTAATAAAATATATATTTTAACTGAGCACTGATTTTATGAATTAATTAATAATGACTTTGCATAATATTGACTTGAAAATATGTGCTAAAATGCTGTGACTTGCAGTTATGTGTTGGCAAAGACACAAAAACGAAATCAGAATGCCTCAGAAGGAGGTTTTACTTTATAATAACAAGTTAAAGTACTATAATAATAATCAGAAAGTCAGTTCTGTGTGCATCAGGGTAGCTTATTAACCAAGCTCCTTCATCTCTTTAAATGGAAAAGCTTTTGGTCCCACATTAATTAGGGATTTTGCAAACTAGGTGTTCTTAATAATATAGATTGGGAGTGACTGGAGAACTGTGGGTGTTATCCTGCCAAATGCAGCATGGTGCATTTTAATGTGGACCACTATGCCGCACAGGTTTATGTTACATTGCCACATTAATTGTACAAAGCAGTCATCGTCCAATCCTAGTTGTGTGATGAAGTTGTTGTTGGAGCTTGTGATTGTTTTAAAATGTCAATCTCAATAAATTGAAGTTTTATTAGCTAACACCAGGGTTCACTGTTGCTCCAAGCTGCTGTCCAGTGCAGAAAGTACTGCAACTAAAATGTAAATACCACCAGTTTAGGTTAATTACACTCAACCATTTTTTGTTACACTGAACCCGAACCTTATTTTTTGTCAGCCTTACATTTCTTTCATTAGCCTACATTGTTACTGTAAATGCACGATCATCGCTGTTACTCCAAAGTAAAGAATACTTCTACAGTGTATCGCTCGGTGTTGCTTTATTTAATGTATTCATGCAGATCCTGCAAAGCCGTGATGGCCCATGGGAAGGGCAAAAAACTAAACGCAGAAACTAACGTTAGACCCTGAGGGATCCGAGATAATGACCTTGAAAGTAATTCCGATCTTTTCAACGAGTTCTCCTCCAGAGGAACAGAGAAGGATACATTATGCATGCAATCTATTATTAATGGTCTTGAGTCATGTTACGATCAGACATGGGCCCTCAGAAAATAACTGAAAAGTCTGTGCCTCTGGCGGGTTTGTCCTCTAAACACAGTTACATAAAAGCAGTTGCTTTTATATTAAAATATATATTATTCAGTGCAATTTGTGTATTTTGTCTGACTGGTCATTTTACAGGATGTGCGGTTCAAGAGTTTTGAGGAAGCAAACTTTTATAAGGAGTAGACGACAGAAAGGGGGAAATGAGCGGAGTACTCCCGTCCTTTACTGTTTGTATTCATATTAACAATCTTTATCAGGAGCTATATCGATGGTTTTTTTTATTGATCCAATTAAAACGCTTTGCTGATTCTTCCCGAGAGTCCATTGGTTGACAGCTGCGCTCTGTTTTCTCCGGTCCCGCCTCCATCTGTCAGCCTCTGCGCTTGAACGGCACTGTATGACTGTTGATGCACTGTAGGGAGATACTACTCTTAACTTTATGCCTGCATGGACAGTTCCAAAAGAAAACAAAAGAAAAGGGAAAAGAATAAAACATTTCAGTTGACAAGCTTGTGGAAGGCGCTTGTGTATCCACACTGCGTCTTCGTCGGTATTTTCCCCCACTTTTTCCAAGCCCTCTTTTTACAGTATGAAGCGCAGTTATGGCAAGGAGTAGCAAGTCAGTAGCAAGGACCCTGGAGGATTTGACGCTAGACTCGGGTTATGGTGGAGCCGCCGACTCCTTCAGGTCTTCCAGTGCGTCGCTGTGCTGCTCAGAGGCACATGGAGGGAATTATTGGCATTTAACCGACTCGATGCACAGTCGACACAACAGTTTGGACACTGTTAACACGGTCCTGGTCGAAGACGCCGAGATCCTGGAGTGCACCGGGCAATGCGCTAAACTACCCGAGCTTGAGGATGTGCCGTGGAGCCTCGGGGAAGTGGCGAGCGCTCTGAGCAAGGACGAGGAGATGAGCCTGCCGACACCACAGCAGGACGTCCTGCACAGGCTTTCGGTTCTGGTCAGCCGGGCCCTGGTCAGGGTCGCCAAGGAGGCGCAGCGCTTGAGTTTGCGCTACGCCAAATGTACCAAATATGAGATCCAAAGTGCCATAAAGATGGTCCTGGCGTGGACCGTGTCGATGAACTGCATCAGCGGGGCCCTCAGTGCATTGTCACTGTACAATATGAGCACAGAGGACGACAAGTTCACCCGCGGCAAGTCGGCGCGATGCGGACTCATCTTTAACGTGGGGAAGTTCTTCAGGTGGATGGTCGATAGCAGGGTAGCAGTCAGGA